ACAACCTAGTCATAACAGCCGACCCACCCATCGCATAAATGCGTCAGGGCGACAAATGATAAAAGAGCAGTATAGGGTGTCACTGGAAGATTTCAGAGAAAACAGATACGTCAGAAGGTTTGAGGATAGTACAGTTGGCGATGTCTTCGAACTGCATGAAACACAAAACATTCCTGTGATTATTTCAAAATGCTCTTACAATTGGTTCAAGCAAAGAATATTCTGTGAAAGAGACATGATCACTCATCCAAATGCCACCAGGACTGTTTGGCGATAATTACTGGAAAACTATTGGAGCCTCCGCGGGTTTGACCCACGATATCAAAGAAAAAATACTCAGGAACAAAATTCTTCCGAACAATAGACAAAGTTTGTTCTGTATTGAACATGAAGACTAGATAGGGACCAAAAAGAAAGAGTCTGACTGTTGAAGGATTTCACAGAGTCAACCGAGATGAAAGTAACAACAGACAGCATTTTGACAGTGACTTAGAATGCATCTACCGCACATTCTTCTTTTCACCCACATCAGCCAGGCGCATGAAACACGGAAAATAGTATAGTTCGTAAATTTCTGACCAAGCTACGTCCGTGGATGGCTCACAGGGGAATCTGGACAAAGACATATTCCTCCGCTTTGTTAGTTCTAATTCTGGCACGTTGAGTTTATGGGTACAAATGGGAGCGAATGAGGATTGGTGTATCCAAGAATTATTTCCCTGAGTGTTAGGAATTTACAAAAAAAGTCTTAAGATCACCTACTTGGAGATGCAGGAGCACAAAAAGCAGCCATAAACAGAAAACCGTTGTATAAAAACGTACCTCCCACCAGCGACCTTCAGGAAGAGGACCTCGTCCGGTTTTCACGGAACGGTAGGTAGTTGGCTCTTCGTCCGGTTTACAATCATTTGATCCTAAACCGGCTCTGGAAGAAATATCGATATATACGACTTTTCTTTGCGCCAGAAGATCTTGTGGGAGATTGTGTGCCTGAAAAAATTATGCCAAGTGAAATTTTTCACTTACATTCACTAAATTGAGGTTAGATGAATGTAGTGACTCTATCTTGATTTCGAAGTCTTTCTTCATATAGTCGTTCTAAAAAGTAAGTAGATCATAAATAAATTACCGTGAGGATTGTCCGACAGTACGGATACGCATTCCAAGCTAGCTCGTTAAAAGTCATCAAACTAGTTGGCAGGAGCTTGGAAACCAATGTAGGAAGCTTGGTTGCCATATGATAGATTTTGTGAGTAAACTGTCCGGTTTTGTAGCTGCCATCTAATAAAGGACTGTCCGGAGGGTGAACCGTTTCTGTGAATGGTTCGTTCACAAGAACTTCTACGCCATCGCCACCGCCTGTCTGCTCTTTTGAGGCCTCAGCAACGGCATAAAGCTGAGCAACTTGGTACTCCTCAACAGTGAGGGGGAGAATAACCCGGCTAAAAATAAGTGTTATATGCGCAGTGAAGTCTTACTATTCATAGATCAACATATTAGAATATACTCGCCAGCAGGGACATAAACCCTCAACCTGCGATTGGACGGTTAAAAGTGTTCGTTTTTGGCACTTAATTTGTTCGAAATTCACTGGTTTCGTAAAACAATTGAAAATGAAGTACATATAATTGTGTTTCCTCGGCAGTCCTGTCCTGGATGATGGGCTAATTTTCCCCGTAATAACGCTTTTTGACTGGGCAAAGAAGACACAGGCCTCTACCTAGGCAGTGCATCTAATAGAAGGAAGAGCGGCATTAGGAAGTTAAAAAAGTAAGCCTTTTTTCACACAGACTACGAGTTGAGGAAGTGG